GGAAACACCGAACCCTCTTCCGTACTTCACATTTGGGACCACAGTGATTATAAAACCCTGACTTTGCATGGTAATTAAACTGATTAATAGTGAGCATTAGATCCTAAACTAGTGTTACCTTTAAAAAAAAAAAAATATATATATATATATATATATATATATATATATATATATATATATATATATATATATACCCTCATTGGGGGCTTAGCCCCCACTAAAATGAAAATCCTAGTGACACCCCTGCTACAGATGCAATCAGATGGAGGATAAAACAAACTCCATCTAATTGTGAATTTTGAAGGTGCGTGAAACAATTGTGTGAGTTTGAGGAAGATAAAATTAATTAACTTTTTTAATTATTTTTTTTTAAAAGTCAGAGTTGAGTTAATATATATACTTTTTTGTTTAAAAAAAGTAAAAAAAAAAAAAAACGTAATTATGAGAAGTGCCCTTTTTTTCACTTGAGCCCCTGCCCCTCAAAATGTCTGTGCACGTCCCTGGTTCCCAGTATGTATACGGTTAAAAGATGCCTGTGTCTCATATGACCTTGTTATTTCTACACAATTACAACATATAAATAGGGATATGTTTTTTGTCACTTATTGGGAGCAGTATGCTAGCTGGAGTCATTTACTTCCAGTCTTTGTGCTAAGTTAGGCTAGCGATGGGTGCGTCATACAGAGTTACAGCATGCACGGAGATGAAAACTGTGTATGGACTTTTCTAACTCTGGGGGATACGGTGAATTAAGCTAAAGTCCCAAAAAGTCGCCTTGTTCCTTTAACAGGTATCGGATGGCATGAGGGTGAGCAATTAACAATGGTATTTACATTTTTGTGTGAACTGACACTTTGTTTTTCACATGAATACACTTTCCATGCATTTTGAAATAATTTTTCACCTTTAAACTTTATGAAATTGCAATACCATTTTATGTATAAGTACCTTGGTGTGACCCTTGATTCAGTTTTAAAAAACATGTAAAAAGAATATCGAGTACAGTAAAATTTTATTTACGAAATTTTAAACAAATTCGTCAATTTATACCATTTGGGGCTGCCAAAGTGTTTTTACATTCTATGATTTTATCACATATTGAATATTGTTGGACATTGACCGGTATGAATACACTCAAATCAATAGAATTACTCTATAAAAATGCCTTAAAAGTCTTTGATAAAAAGCCAATGTCCTACTATATTTGTAATATTTTACAAAAAACGTAATCTATTAAGCATAGAGAATTTTAAACATTTTAAATATGCCTGTTTTGTTTACAAAGTGTTAAATGGATTAGCCCCACCTCCCATGTCGGACTTCTTTAAACCAAAGACTCACAGTGGTGCCAGGACACGGGCCTCCGCTAGAGGTGACTGTGAGGTTCTTTTCAGAAGAACAGCCTTTGGACAAAATTCTCTGTCTGTGAATTGTAAGTTATGGAACAGTATCCCCATCACTGTCAGGGAATGTCCCAGATTTTCTATATTTAAAACCAAACTCAAAGTGTGGCTTAAAGCAAACCAGTCTTGTGATCATTAAGTGATTCTTCTTTTTGTTTTGCTTGTACTTATTAATTTTTGTCATTTTGTATGTTATAATCTCCGTATTTCTGTAATTTGTCTAGGGACTACGGATGTAAATTAGCCTTGTGGCTATAATCCGGCATGTTTACGTCTGTTTTTGTTGGTTCAATGCAGATGTTCATTAATGTGCATTGTCCCTATCAAATAACTAAATAAAAAAATAAAAAAATTGACAGATTTTTTTTTATTTTTTTTTATAATGAAATAATTTTTCTGTAATTATTTCTGTAATTTCAATATTCTATATAATGTATTTTTTTATTTTGAAATGAAATTTATTTTTCTGTAATTATTTCTGTAATGTATATATTCTATATAATGTAGTTTTTAGTTTGTATTTACAAATACTAAGAGAAGTGTTAGCTATTAGCTGTATTTTACAGTTAAAAAGTTGTAAAAAAGAAAAAAATTCATGGTAATCCTTTGAATAGGTTAACTGTGTTTGCCCTTAACATTTATTGATTTGTAAGGGACAATAAAATCGTTTGAATGGAAAAAATCTGTTATTTGTTTGGTTGAATGTGCTATTGCAAGTTGAGAAAATATGCCAAATTGAGTTCAATGAACATACATTTTAGCACAGATAACTTGACAATGTAAGTTATTGTAAAAAGTTAGTAGATTAAGTCAATAAAACTTAACTGAGACAAAGCAAAAAGATATCTAAAAAATTTTAGTTGAAAAAAAACAAAAAAAATTTACAGTGTGATTATCTTATAGAAGATGGTCAATCAGGTTCATTCTCGTGTGTTACGCAGCACATTTGAGCTTTAGCAAGAACCAATAAGGTTCATTCTTGTGTGTTACGCAGCATGTTTGCAATTCAGGAAGAACCAATTAGATTCATTATCTTGTTACACAGCACTCTGAGCTTCAGCAAGAACCAATGAGGTTCATTCTTGTGTGACGCAGCATGTTTGTGGGGAAAAAAATCGACACTGGTCGAAAAAAAGTGCTGCGATTGACCGCACCCAGTGTGTGTAGCTTCATAGGGATCTATTGTTTCAATTCAAGAGCGTCATTGTGACATACATTCGCATGGCTTAATCCTGCTCAGTGTGAAAGGCCCTTTAGTCTTAATGAACTTTTAGAAGCGTCAAAGTGGTAGTTGCGTAGCTGTCAATGGAGAGACAGAAATCTCTCAGATATCATCAAAAAGATCTTAATTTGTGTTCCGAAGATGAAAAAAAGCCTTGGTTTAGAACAACGTGAGGGTGAGGTTTATTTTTGAGTATTTAATTTAGGTCTGAGGTTTGTACAATTGAGTATACTGAATTTTAGAAAGGTATTAATTAAATAGAACATTCAATTCAGAAAAACTTTCTTAAGAATGACACTTTCAGTTGTTTTGTTGTGGTGTTTGTTCTTGCTCTCATGGAGATTTTTCTCCACAGAACATTGATGCAGTATTGTGATGATAAGACTGTGAAAATGACTAATTCTTGCTACTTGCAAAACAACGTTAATTCTTGTCATTGGGAATGTAAAGCTTCTTGTGTCCGTGTTTAGTTTGTGGCTGTGACTAAAGAGAAAAACATGCATTGTGGCCTGTGTCATTGCATTTCCTCATGTATACTTACTGTAATTCAAATGAATGGGGATGTTGCACAGAGAATTGAACTTTTGACTGTTTTGTAAAACCGAATTACCACAACTGTGAAGTATGAAAAGGAAATGAAATCTGGTTTCATGACCACGTACGACTGTGAAAGAGAACAACAAAGGGCACTGTAAGAAAACAGAACTGATCTTTAATGATATTTTTTTTTTATGTGTACCATTTCTCTAAAACATGCTTATGGTAAATCAAGTCTTGCTATAGTTTTAACGCACATACAGGGATGCAAACTTGTCAACTTAAAAAAAAAAAAAAAAAACTAAAATTAGACATTTTCCAGAATCATTAGTGCCATTTGTGTAGATGTGATGGGATTATTTTTTTCACAGTACAATAGTATTATTACTATAATAATATATTTAATTATTGTTTTTTTATATATAATTTCATAAAATACAAATGCTTTATTATTATTATTGAATAAGTTGCAAAAAAATAGTCAGAATGTGAGTCTGATACTGCTCCATTAGGCTGCGATCATGGGGCGTGTTTCAACCGAACCAGGAAAGAAAATGCCTCTGCACTCAATTGGATAGACCTAAAACTAATCAGAGCAAAGGAGTAAGTGACGTATGTTGAATCCCGTAGGAAGGACGGCAAAAACATCTTTCCGATCGACAAATGCTTTGATTGCGGTTCTCTGTTCCTCTTTTAAAACGAATACGCTGTCGATATCTTCTATAACAGATGCAATGGCGGAATCTACACATCTCAATTCCCCAGCGGCAGCCACCTTTTGTTGTAAACGAATTCAACCCAAGCGCTCTTTGGTGACGTGGATGATTACGCTACTGTTGATCATCTGTCCATCATCGTATAAAGCCCGCCCTGACAATTTGATTGGTCCGAACAGCTCTGGTTCGAGCATACTTGCTTCACAACGGATCAAGTCCAGACCGAACTTCCCGACCTCAAATGTTGTGGAAGGGGCTAAGTTCGGCTGGCATCCAGGCTACCTTAAAGGGATAGTTCACCTAAAAATGAAAATTAGCTGTGATTTACTCACCCTCAAGCCATCCTAGGTGTATATGACATTCTTCTTTCAGACAAATACAATCGGAGTTATATTAAAAAATGTCCTGGCTCTTCCAAGGTTTATAATGGGAGTCAATTGGTATTTCTCGACTAAAATAACTAGTCGACATACGACAAAAGAGTAACACTTGACTATTTATGACGTAGGATGTAGGAGTAGCGTAAGCTTTGACGCCTCTCGCGGTTCAAACAAACAGGGCTGGGCAACCGCGTTCGTCATTACGTTGTGCGTCAAGTTCAAGTGTTACTCTTTTCGTCTTTTGGCCGTCTGCCGGAAGCTAGTTATTTTAGTTGATAAAGTTTTAAATATGGATATTTTTCTAAAACGCATCGCTTCACTTCAGAAGGCCTTAATTAATCCCCCGGAGCCGTGTGGAGCACTTTTATCACGGATGGATGCGCTTTGATGGACTTCAAATATACCCATTGACTACCATTATAAAGCTTGGAAGAGCCAGGACATTTTTTTTTTATATAACTCCGATTGTATTCGTCTGAAAAAATAATGTCATATACACCTAGGATGGCTTGAGGGTGAGTAAATCATGGGCTAATTTTCATTTTTGGGTGAACTATCCCTCTAATTTTTTTTTTTTTTTTTTTTTTTTTTATTACTACTCAGTTTAATTTAATATATTGCTCATTGGTTTACGGCCCTCCAGCACTGTACACTTTGCATGTCTTTGAGAACCACTGGTTTAAGGAAATACTATGGTCCATTTTAATCCAAGATTGAAAAGAGCTGAAGAGATTGAAATGTTGTAATTTTGTGTACTGCTCAATCTACTGTCCCTCTCCTGTTACCATAGTAACCACCTTCTCAGCATCAGCACCCATATCATCAATAGCAGTATTGAGCGCCTGTAGCATAACAGTGAAAGATCTGCTGACGGATCTTGCGTGTCTCGGCATGGCTAGCTCCACAAGTCTGGTGGTTGCAGTGCTGGTGTCTTTCTCGGCCTCCGCGAGCCGTCTTTTAACTTCACTCTTGCTGACCTCCACAGAGAGAGCGCAGGTCCGCAGAGCCTTCATCCTGGCTGGGTCGAGACCCCGCTGCCTCGCCAGTCGCTGCAGAGACTCGTCATCCAGGCAAAGAGAGATCTGCGCCTTCGTTAAAATCCGTACGCCCACCGTAGCGTCCACCATGGAGGCCACCAGGGGTACGGGAATGGCAGAAATGCCACCGGATAATGAGGCAGCAGCCCACACCAGTGCCTTGAAGGCATCTTTCTTCTGAGTGACCAAGGATTTGGAAAATGTTGGAAGTGCCAGAAGAAGAGCATGCGCCCTGATCTCTGGAAGGTCACCTCGCATGACCTCTAAAAACGTTAGAAAGTCCAGCTTCTCCAAAGCGGAAGGTTGTACCAGGAACACCTTGGGGAGAGGAACACCTTCTGCCTTGAGCACTTCTAAGCTTTTCGCTTTCTTCACCTCCAGTGTTTTCTCGGTATCCTTCACCGACGCTAATAAGACAAAGTAAACTGTCTCTTTCTGCAGCGACCTTAATTCCCTCCACACCGCCACACTGTTAACACTAGGACTCTCTGTGAATGTGATAATGATGGCGTTGTACCGCATGGCTTTGAAACGCTCTATATAATCCTCGGCCTGAAAAGTGGGATCATTAGAGATGGGCGGCAGATCGAAGAGGCGATAGTCAGGATGTTTGGGGTTCGGGAATACGGTTAGTTCCCCTGGGGCAGCAGATGATGGAGAGCGGGCTGAGCCTTCGTCGTCTTGACTCAGCCCTCGAAGTGAGTTGATAAAAGTGGCTTTTTCTGCTTTTCTCTCCCCAGCGATTGCAATGTTGATTCTGCTGATCAGCATGTCCTCCATGGCATCTCTTATATCTGATATGTTGTTCTTCTCAATGGACTCCTTTAGCGTTTCCAGCAGGTTAAGACTCCTCGACACATCAGCCATATCTGTAAAATGACAACTAAACTACAAATACAGATGACACTTCTTTATAGTCTTCAACTGCAGTGTTAGAGTTATGTGCTGGATGTAATCAGATACAGTTCTATTTTTTTTTTTTTTTTTTTAAATTAAAGGGATAGTTCACCCAAAATTTAAAATTAGCCCATGATTTACTCACCCTGAAGCCATCCTATGTGTATATGACATTCTTCTTTCAGACGAATACAATCGGAGTTATATTTAAAAATGTCCTGGCTCTTCCAAGCTTGATAATGAGAGTGAATGGCTATTTGACTTTGAAAGTCAATTAAGACACATCTATTCATGATTAAAGTGCTCGACATGGCTCTGGGAGGTTAATAAAGGCGTTCTGAAGTAAAGTGATGCGTTCGTGTGAGAAAAATATCCATATTTAAAAGTTTATCGACTAAAATAACTAACTTCCGGCAGACGGCAGTACGCATCGGTTTACGGCAAAAGAGTAACACTTGAACTTGACGGCAATTGACGGCGCCTCTCGCAGTTCAAACCAACAGGGCTGGGCAACCGAGTTCGTCATTACGTTGTGCGTCAAGTTTTACTCTTTTGGAGCAGGCGTACGGCCGTCTGCCGGAAGTTAGTTATAGAAGCTAGTTATAGTTAGTTATAGAAATAGTTCAGCCATTTACTCTCATAATCAAGCTTGGAAGAGCCAGGACATTTTTTAATATAACGCTGATTGTATTCGTCTGAAAGAAGTCATACACCTATATGGCTTCAGGGTGAGTAAATCAAGGGGTAATTCTCATTTTTGGGTGAACTATCCCTTTAAAACTTTTATTCAGGGAGACATTAGATTAATCAAAAGTGACAGTCCATGACACCGAAGACTGGACTAATGATGCTCAAAATTTTGCTTTGCCTCCACAGTCATAATTACATTTTAATATTAAAATAGAAAACAGTTATTTTAAAATTCACAATATTACTGTTTTTATTGTAGCCTACTTTGATCAAGTTATAATATTTTAAAAATGTATTTATATATTAAAATCTTTTTTATATTTTAGTTAAGGCATTCTAAAATTTTACGACACAAAAGAACAGTACATTTATATAAAATGAATGTAATTTATTTACTGGCAAATACAGTATATAAGATCTAAATAAGAAGGCAAATGCAAGTCCAGAGCATGAAATGCAATTTTTAATTTAAAAACCTGCATGACAAACATACATTACCAGAGGTAAGAGACCCTTAGAGAAAAAGTTACTTACTATGTTACTTTCCATAAATTCAATATACTGTAATTAGTTAATGTAATTAGGAGCAATGCAATATTGAGAATAAAATAACCACTTTAAGTGGATTTCCGTTTCCATCCAAACACGTACCTTATTTCAGATCATTCAGGATGACAGCGAGTGTGGTGGACCACAGAAAATATCAAACCACACAAAGATGAATGAGACACTGACACTCTCACAGGCTATTTAAGGATTCTCAGTAGTGTGTGGAACATTCTAATCCTGTTATCTAAGGCCTAATCCTCCTCACACACACACACACACACACACACACACACACACACACACACACACACACACACACACGTCATCACAGAGGAGCAACCAGCAGGTCAACTGATTTACAATTCTTGAGGAATTTTTATGATTCCTATAAGAATGGTCATGATCCACTTGAGCATAGTTTGCATGCACTGTATATAACAAGCTATTTCTTTGTATCATACATAAAGGCCTTACAACATATATATATATATATATATATATATATATATATATATATATAGGGCAAATATAAGGAATTTTAATTTTAATTATGTTCCCATGTTAGACCAACAATATTCCAGCAGACAGAAAACAATTCCCATTGATGTTGTTAACATTTTAAAGGTTTGTGAGTTCCCAGCATGCATTGCAGCATAAATAAATGCACTTTCAGGTTTAGGACCATTTTATTCTTTTTTTCTTTTTTTCTCTTTTTTTTGAAGTTTCCATACTTTATTTTTGCTGTTGCTGTTGACCTCACTGCTACTTTTGTACTGTTACCCTGTACTTTTTTTTGTTACATTCGCTGTTGTCACAGTTATTTAGGTTTGTGGGTTACGTGTTGAGGTCTATGTGTGTGTGGCAAGACTAACGGAGTGAGGCTGGAGGTGTGATTGCTAATGACGCCAGTGAAGGATGAGAGAAGACCAGGCCTGGTCTTTATTTTGTGTTTTATTATGTTTTTATGCATCAGTCTTCCTTCACTGTAGTCAATCCTCCTTTCATCTATCCGGAGCTCCTCCATGGGACACGAGGCCAGTGTGGCGCGCAGGAGATGTTTATCAACACTCGCGCCACCGCTCCATTTCCACGGCTCTCGGCCCCCGCCCTGCTTGACTCTGTGAAATTACTGCAACACTTCCTTGCTTCACAATTTGCAGATAACACTTAAAGTCTAGTGTGACTTGAAAGAAACCTTAGAACAAGCCTTGACTGCAAATCCAACGTTTCATTGAGATACTATGATTCAGCTTAACAAATTGACAAATAATAACTCCATATAACAGTAAACAATTTAAATATGCTGAATCAATTCTGATTTTGACACTTCCCTTTCTTTTTTTCCTATTTTCCAGTTTATGTTTAAACAATAAGGGAGAAGGCAACTATCAGAAACTTTTATTATTTACTAAAACATATTTGCAGCAGTTTCAGGAAGCTCCGAAACTTCCTTAAATATATATTTACCACATGCAAAAAAAAATGGAAATAAGAAATGAAGAGAAATAAAAAAAAATATTTTTTTTTGTGTAATTTCATCTAAAAAAAAAAAAAAAAAAAAAAAAAAAAAAAACTAGAAAAAGAGACTAATCTAATGAAACATTCTGTATTATGTTGCAATCGCCAACAATTTTTGATAGACACATAAGGGATAAAAGCTCTAAAGTAATACATTTAATTATTGTCTTAAACATCTGACCTTACAAAACGAAATGTTGTTGTGTGTAGTTACGACTTTTAGCTCCTTAACTTTTAAGCATCTGAGAATTAGAATAAAGTTCTTCCTCTCCCTCCATCCATTTCTGGTTGGGTGTTTCAATCTGGTCATCTCCATCCTGAAGGGCCTCCCTTTGCTTCCCATCTCCTATCTTGTCCCTCTTGATCTCAGCGTAGTCTGTGTCTGTAGGTTCCATCTCTCCCTCTTCAGGCGGTCTGTTCTTTAGAAGGGAGTAGTCGATGCTGGCGTAGTCCACCTCTCCTGCTTGCATCTCGACTGCTTCACCGTCCTGTGCTCCATCTGTTGGTGCTGCTGTGTCTGTGGTCCCTCCATCAAGCTGTCCATGAAGAGGTGTCTGTTCATTGGTTCCACTCTGAGCTACATCTGTCTGAACTGTCTGATACATAAAGAACATATCCTTATTTTTATTTATTTATTTACATTAAAAGGTTAGTTCACCCAAAAATGAAACTTAATAATTAATACTTAATAATAACTAAAGTTCTAAAGAGATCGTAAATTTAAATATCCATATTGAGCGGTTTAGTCCAAAATTTCTGTAGAGACACGATCGCTTTATATACAGATTGAATTTAGGCTTTTATTCATATCTATCTATCTATCTATCTATCTATCTATCTATCTATCTATCTATCTATCTATCTATCTATCTATCTATCTATCTAATATCTATCTATCTATCTATCTATCTATCTATCTATCTATCTATCTGTAAACATTACATATAACATATTAATAATTTTTTCTAAATATTACAAGAAACTTTACTGCCGTACCATGAGTGCAGCAGGCGTAATGATATGACGCAGCACGGTTGACGCTGCTTCATATCATTACGCCTGCTGCACTCATGGTATGGCAGTAAAGTTTCTTGATTATTACGCAGGAATGAGAGTATAGCCATATCAGCCTAGAAAATCGTAACTTTACAATTTCCGTCGGTCTTAGTGCACGATGTAACTACAGAAGAGTCAAGTTTTAAATAGGAAAAATATCGAAACACTTTGGTCTTTTTTTTTTTTGAGAAATGCTAATGGTCTTGTCCACTCCAATGATGTATGCTAAGCTATGCTAAAAGTGGTACCGCCAGAACCGGAGATCGGCTGAATGGATTCAAAAACGGTAAACTCAACAGTTTAACTCTGGGGGAGTTGTAAAATTAGCCTATTTCCAAAAAAAGTGGAGTATCCCTTTAACCTGTTAACTGTCACCCCCCTTTTTTTGCATAGACATAAAAATCACTATCCAAACTTAAATGGTTGTAATTCAGGAATGCTTTGGAATATAGACCTATGGCTAGTCTTGTTTTAAAGAAGACATTTTCCAGATTATTGTAGAAGTCTAGAAATGATAAAAAATGAAACAGAAAAAAAGTTATATAAGTTTGAGTTTATGAAATTGTGTAATGTAAAAATATAATTATTAATATTTTATATAAAATATATATATTACAAAATATATTTTACTCTAAAACTGCAAGAAAATTAAAGACAAAAATCTGAACAAGTTGTATTCCAAATTTTAGGTTTATGAAAAAAATGAGCTTTCAGTAAGATTTTATTTGGGCGCAGTACCCAACTTTTTCACTAGACTCCATTACTGCCCATATAAGGGCGCCTCCATTTTAATATATGTTTTGAGTGATCTGAACCATGTATTTCCATAATTTTCATACAATTTATGAAGTAGACATCCTATTCAGAAGTAGTATGGGTGGTTTGGCAGTATTTGATTTGAATTCAACCTCTAATAAATGCATAAAAAGACTACGTTATAGCGTTATAGCTCGCAGCCAATCAGAAATCGAGAATCCATACATTTTTCTTTATATTTAAAACATTTTCAGACCTTTTTTTCTCATAAAATGTAATTGGTGTTATCTTTTGAACTCATGGCATGAAAACAAACTGAGGTTTCTACCAATCTTTCATGATTTTTCGTGTTTATTGTTATTTCAAAATAAATGCCTATAATACGCCTAATGAATATGAAATATTCTTGTTGCAAATTGATAAATTACTGCTCCTCTGTAATTTGTTTTAGATAACAAATATGAAAACTAGAGATGTTAAGCTTTCAAATGATATATAGTTTGGCAATATTACTTTAGGTTTTTACTAAGATATTATTGTTTTAAACATGCAATGGCAAAGAAACATCATGGCTAGTGATTTTTTCTGTGCACCACTAAAATGTCTATCTGGTGATGTCACCTCAGAGGTTTCTGTCAAAGCCTATGTATTTTTTGGATATTATCATGTTTGAATGATGCAAAACAAAAATATATATATATTTTTAATCTTAATAATTACATTATACTTCTACACAGACGTTTCTGAGCCCCATCATTGTCTTGAGGTGGCAGATTTTGAAGATTGAGTTTGAGATTGAGATTCAGTTTAAAAATTGTTTTGCACAAAGCGATAGCGATAAGACTTGGACTATTTTTGAAGTAATTGCATGTTTTTACATGAGTAACAGAAAATCATTAACATGAGTTTAAGTAAATGATGACACAATTTCCATTTGATAAAAGTTGAGTAGGTAATGCAATCCACTAGAGGCATTAAGGTTGCGAAAGTGATGTTTCCATTTCAACTTCTGTTTCAACAAAATATTTGGATCTGTCTTACCTCCAAATTGATGTCAGTGTCCGGATTTTCTGTCAGCACTTTGTGTCTTTTGCCTCTGTTAAGAAAAGATATTTAGGGAATAAGACTCGAGATTTAAAGCTGACAGTGCAAAGTGTTCTAAACGCTATACATAACAAGGACAAATGACGTTTGATGGACTTTTAGGCAGCTTTTAGGAAAAGAAGTAAATGGCGGGCCTACCTGTGGCAAGACACCCAACAACACAAAATCATTGAGAAGATGATTGCTGAACATGCCATTCCTGCCACAAATGTGACTATCGTTGAGATGTCCAATTTCTTCAATAAACCTTCTATACCTTAAATGTAAAAACACAGAATTGTTACTAATTTAAGAAAATGTCCAATGTTCTGAAGCGAGAGTAACATGTTCCTGAAATCCTAAACTTAACCCACACCCTAAACCTACTGCTAAAATTTGATTGATTGAGAGGAATAATGTTCAAGGACCAGAAAAGTTGTCAATCCAGGAACATTGGCTAATTGGCTAAATCATAATCGCCCTGAAATAAACATACAGTGTCTAAAGTGCGTAAACTGCTGAGTATTACCTGTAGGCTTTTCGGTGGAATTAACCAGATCGTCTTTGCCAAGCAAGTTTTCAACTCCGGGAGTGAAGGACTCGTTTATTTTCAATTTATGTGTGTCACCTAGCATGGGATAAATGTTTGATGTTATAATTAGTAAAGACATATATTCAGACTTTAGGGCTGTCCCCTGCAAACACGCCATGAACTTTCCTAGATGTGTCACAACTCAGTATTTCAACAGTTGCTGACATGTTGTCAATTTCGTAATTTGTAATGTTGCAAGTCTGTGATATTGTTAGGTTACAAACATTTCATGTGGAATCTGGTTCTACTTACGAATGACATTGATAGTGATGGATGCATTCAAAGTCTCCTTCATATAAGTCATCTCACAGACATATATCCCAGCATGCTCCTTTCTCACATTGGTAATCATGAGATTTTCTGCAGACGTGTGGTTCCTGATATTATCTGCAGTTTCATTGAAACTCCATACAGGATCAGAGGACGGTGGGTGACTCTCAACAGTGCAGTTCAGGCGGAGAGTGTCACCTTCCATTACTTTGTCATCGCCCAGAATTTGAAGAGTCTGTACATCTGAAAAAGAGCAACTGATTTGGTTTTGACACCATATTGACACAGTATGCAAGAAAACCATCATTTTAGTTCTACTCATTGATCAATGGTAGAAGAAGGTAGATCTCAGCAGTGAAGCCTACGCTCTTCTGAACTGAATTTCAGAATTTTTGTTTTTAGCAATTGTCAAAGAAACATGCCTTTTCAAGAAGTTTGGTTACATATGTATAGTACTTGCACTCACACATTACTTCTAGGGTCCTACTGGTACTGATGGTTTTGTTTCCATAGCTCACGTCACATCCTACAGTGGAATTGTGCATTTTGGAGGTTGGAGTCAAGGGCAAAGTTGAGAGGTAAAGGTTTCTGGAGGGGATCAAAGTGATGTTGTCATACTCGAGATTGGTGATATTTTCTCCTGTCTTGATCCACCATGTTATTTCAGGTGGAGTTTCGGGGCAAGGAAAAGGAGCTGAACATGTCAGATTGGCTTCCACTCCTTCGCTGAGAGGAGGAATATTCATTATAGGCTCGTCTGCAAAGAGAGGTACACAACATAATGTAGACATTGCAGATTTCCAAAGTGTAAATTATTGAGTCATTCTTTGAGGACAGATCCAGATCAAATGCATATTTTACTAAGATGAAAAGAAAAAGCAGTGTGATTAGCAGAGCACAGCCACATGTTTAAGTTTTTTTATTTAAGAGATCATGTCCAACATAGTTCCTCTGCTGAGATTATGAAATCATAACATCAGAAAGTGTGCAGTGAGCTGAACATCCCTCTGAAACAACTGAGAACTGAAAGAGAACATCAGACTAGAGAGAAAGCCAGGACCTTTGGAACTTTGCCAAACACAAGCAAGCATTACCTTGAATTATGATTTTAACTGTGGATTTATACGTCATTTTATGTGAAAGCTGCCCCTCCACTCTGAATGCATATTCATTTTCATCTTCTGCTTGTATGTCTTTCATGATGATGCTGCAGTTGTTTTTGGTCAGATCAGGTTCAAGCATCTTAATCCGGTCTGTGTGAGTTTTGAGGTTTTTTTTTTGTGTATTCACTTTCCCCTTGAAAATACTTGAAATTACAATTTTACATTGACTATTTTTATGACACACTCTCCACTGAACAGTATCAATAGGTTTCGCTTCATTTGGATAGGTGAAGGTACATGAAATCAGAGCACATAATCCTGGAACTGCAATCATTTCTGGTGGATTGAATGTGATACTCCAGTCCTCATTTCCATGGCCTTGAATAACAGAAGAATGTGATGAAATGCTGACACAGGACATCTCATATTTTAAAATAATAGTTGCCTGTTCATGCTCAATACATGTGCAAGAAGCTACATAAACTTCACATGTACTGTACATTGTTTAAAATGTACATCATACACACTTAGTGATGGTTGAGGTGTGTGAAGTGTAGAAGTTTTATCAAAAAAGAAAATCAAATTGAATACACATTTAAACTTAAATGTAACTGTAAAACATGTAATACATACCTGTACACAAAATATTTAATACTAACATGGAGAGGATTGTACAGCTTGAACTGATCTGCATTTTAAACGTGCATTCCAGAGATCTGCGCACAACAAAAGAAACATTAACTTGAACATTAATATAAATGCTTTGCATTCGAATTTCCAATATATTATTCAATATTTGAATGCAAATACTTTGGCAGTGCATATATAAAATATGTGTCATGGCAGTAAAGAAAACTGCATTTCAAATTAAAATGTACAGCATTAAAAAAGTGACCTTACCGCTTCAAGTCAAACCGTTCACAGTGTTCTCAGAAGTTTTAGTTGTAAAACTGCAGAAGCAGCACACAAGTGTATAAGCTGCATCCTTCCTCTAGTGGAGCACTTCCTCATTGAACTGACTTGCACAAATAAGGGATTGTTGTGCATGACAAGCATGAATATGGAAAGAAATAGCATAATTCAGTAAAACACATACAATAAAAAATAAAACAAAATGCAAACAAAAAGTACCCCGAGGGGGTAGACAGTACGACTAGTGATGTTACGTCTGACACCGACGCTCCGAAGCTTGCTTCAAACTCGAACGGTCCTTGCAATGAACCACTGCTTCGGAGCTTGTATCATTACGTCACTAGTCACGTGAAAAGGACTTCACGAGTTCGCACTTACAAACAAGTCAGATAGAATAAATGCGTATTTGGCGTGCTGTCCGAGGAGAGGGCTCCGGGTTAGGTATTCGGCCCAAACCCAGAGTACTCCCCCCGTATGCCTGGCTGTGAAAGAATAAGCCAAGAGTGAGGAGTCGGGGTGGTGGAGGGATGCTGAAACTGTCAAGGAATGTTAGGTGAGTCGACAGAGTGAATATATATATATGCTTCCTCTCGTGCTGATGGGATAGACATGATAATTGTTTGATGACAAGTTGATTGCAATGATTGTTTGAACGTGCTCCTCTCGAACTTTGTTTATAAAACATCATGGTTCAGTCCTGTAGTGAACCACCTGACTGCTTTGACAGCCCAATCCAGTGTTGACAGGTTTGAAACCTGGCGGCTGTATTTCTTATAAAAGTGAAGCCAAACCATGGCAGCACCGTGGGTTGTAGTAGTCGGTGTTTGGATTGGCGTTATTGTTGAGGAGAGTGGATTGAGTTTATTTCAGTGTTGTGATGGAGCCAGCGAGAAAGAGAAGTCGTTAAGTTTGGGAACACTTTAAACTTATTTCCCCGAATAAGGTTAGTTCTTTGACATTTCTGCATACAAATATTTTTACATATGTAGTGAATGATATGGAGAAAGACAGAAACTTCAAAAACCCTCTGCTACATTATACAAGTACAACCAGTTACACAAGCACATCCTTTTCAACATACAAAAATATCAGTCCCACCAGTTAACAAGTTATAGAGTTCTGCTTCCCACAGCTAAACAAGATAAAGCTTTCACACATGAAACTGCCCTGCTAAAAAAAACTATAGAAACCATTACAGAAATTCTATTGGATTTAATGGTTTTCATGGTAATTTTATTGGTTGTAATGGGAATTGTAGTGGTCTCTGTGGGTCTCTACTGATATGTGTTGGGTTCTGTTGGTGGGGACATTAAATCCTAATGGAATATGTCCCAAACACACTACAAAAAATAATTATGTAGTGGTTTAAATGGTAAAAGCCAATGGTTCCTATTGGTATTTTAATAGAAACCATTAGAATTTCTGTGATGGTATATCCCTTTTTTTTTTTTTTTTTTTTTTTTTTTTTGTCTCTCTTGTTATATTCTTCATATTGACTATGTTTCATATTATATGTTTCATAACTGCTGCCGAGCTTTTCATGCTTAAAGAAAACTTGTGGACTATGGAAACGTGGACTACTGAATTTCTTCACTGTCACTGCTGGGAAATACCCCCCTTTTTTTTTTTTTTTTTTTTTTTTTTTTTTTAAGCTGTAGGGGGGAGGGGATGGGATGGGAAGATGATTGTAATTGTTACTGTTAAAAACCCAAAAAAAAAAAAAAAAAAAAAAAAAAAAAAAAAGATTTTCTGTGATGATTTCCAACTTTTTTTAAGCTGGTCTGATCTTCTGTCCTTGTCTAAAGAAATAATTACACACACACACATCATGCTTAATGTTGTATTATCAAGGTGAACACGTGGAATTAATCAGTCTCTGTAAAATTCACCTACATAAATGAGTTTCACAACACTAACACTGTTTCAGCTTTGATCGCCTCTGTAAACACGTAATAAACGGGGCGTTAACATATAAGGCTATTGCATTTTATGGTTGTCAGCTTTGTTGCATTGCATTTACTTCAGCAGGAGATGGTGCTGCAATTTCTATCTGAATGAAGCTTCGAGAAATGAACCATTTTCGACACAGTTGTATCAGAAAGCAATGCTTCGAAACGCTTCATTTGGCCATCACTAAGTACGACGAGACTAGACAAGGTGAGACTCAAGTAAGCTCTGACTAGAAACACTGTCAAACAAACAATGTAGCACACAGAAAGTATATAACAAACTGACAAACCATGAGGGCAAAATAACACATATAAATGGAGCTGAGAAGAAGAGGAACAGGTGAAAACAATCAGACAAACGAGGACTAGACAAGAGGGCGTGGTAGGCTACTGGGAAACAAGGAGGCAGGAACAGAGGAGCACATGGCAAACAAACTAAGACAGAGCCATATGTTCAAGCACAACACAAACTTAGAGACATGAAACAAAGACAACACAGACAAAGCTGCCAGGGCAGAACCCTGACAGATTCAAATGTTTCTTTAGCCAACGAATTTGTTTTTAGATTTGGAAGAGATTTTGGCCATGGAAATGGAAGAAAAAATATATTTTACTATAAGGCTTCCAGTAAAGCCAAGAGACCACATTTATTAAATTAATTCATAATGTCCACACGTTCATTCTTAATCTTATACTAGGCCTAAAATTTTACTCACATTTTTCCAAAAAAACAAAAAAAAAACTCCACACAAATTTCCATGTTCTACACAGTTTCTCATATGTATGGATACACCTGGGGGGTAAACAATTTGCTTTAGTTCTACAAAAATCCTTTACAGAAAGGATGAAATGATGAATTTGAACACTTTGAAGTAATTCAAGTTTAATTGTAAAAAAAAGTACACCGGAACAAGAAGAAAACAATATGGAATGACAAAACTATTCAATTCATAATTTTCATATTGTATAATACAATATACTGTACATTTATAAATGTATAAGAATTTTTAATACAGACAAAAATAAGCTTAGATAGGATGAAGTTTCTGTACTGTATTTGTAAAAGTAGCCTATATTAAATATAGTCTAAATTATATAAACATAACAAATGAAATAGCAGTAACCTCCAGATATTTTACAATTTTAGATTAAGCTAAATCCAACATAATGGTAATTTAAGGACCTCCCTATGAGCTTTTTTAATAATAAACTTCACTCTTTCTGATGTCCTTGTTGGTCATAAAAAACCTCCAGTATAACTTCAGTGTCTGTGTTTGTGGCCACCACTTCATGTATCTTGTCTCCGCTGGAAAACATATTCAGGGAATAAGACAAGCAAATGGAGTAAAATATACTGATTATCATGACTGTGGACAACAGTGTTCACATACTTTCACATCAACCAGAATCCCATCTCAATAAATCACTCAGAACACCTTCAAGTAAATAGTATAAGATATGCACAAGGCGCAACAAAATGTAGACATTTTAAGCATTTTCGTACCTTTGCCAAGACTCGTGACAGCACAAAACCACAGAGAAGATGACTGCTGAAACTGATATTCCAGACAGAAATGCTATTATCATTCTAATGTCCACTTGCACTTGAAAAGCTTCTTTACCTTGAATTTAAGAACACAAATTGTTATAGTCTTGAATTTCTTATATTTGTCTTGTGCCAAAATTATCAAAAAACGTCCAGGAAAAAAAAGAAAAAAAATGTCCATTAGGACGCACTAGGGTTAACCGGTGTCTAAAGTGCGTAAACTGCTCAGTATTACCTGTAGGTTTTTCGGTGGAATTAACCAGATCGTCTTTGCCAAGCAAGTTTTCAATTTTCAATTTATTTGTGTCACCTAGCATGGGATAAATGTTTGATGTTATAATTAGTAAAGACATAGCCTATATTCAGACTTTAGGGCTGTCCCCTGCAAACACGCCATGAACTTTCCTAGATGTGTCACAATTCAGTATTTCAACAGTTGCTGACATGTTGTCAATTTCGTAATTTGTAATGTTGCAAGTCTGTGATATTGTTAGGTTACAAACATTTCATGTGGAATCTGGTTCTACTTACGAATTACATTGATAGTGATGGATGCATTCAAAGTCTCCTTCATATAAGTCATCTCACAGACATATATCCCAGCATGCTCCTTTCTCACATTGGTAATCATGAGATTTTCTGCAGACGTGTGGTTCCTGATATTATCTGCAGTTTCATTGAAACTCCATACAGGATCAGAGGACGGTGGGTGACTCTCAACAGTGCAGTTCAGGCGGAGAGTGTCACCTTCCATTACTTTGTCATCGCCCAGAATTTGAAGAGTCTGTACATCTGAAAAAGAGCAACTGCTTTGGTTTTGACACCATATTGACACAGTATGCAAGAAATCCATCATTTTAGTTCTACTCATTGATCAATGGTAGAAGAAGGTAGATCTCAGCAGTGAAGCCTACGCTCTTCTGAACTGAATTTCAGAATTTTTGTTTTTAGCAATTGTCAAAGAAACATGCCTTTTCAAGAAGTTTGGTTAAATATGTATTGTACCAACGCATTCTCATCCCAAAGCGTAATATATTGACTCTTTTGCCAAAGCGTCTATATCCAACGCATATGGCACCCTTTAGCGTCAGTATAACACGCTTTGGTTTTGGGTAGGTTTAGGTCTGGGGTAGTGTTAGGGTTAGGGTTAGGGTAGTGTTAGGGTTAGACCACTAGGAGGCGCCATATATCTGCGTCTCATATGACGCTAAAGGGTGCCATGTGCGTTGGATATAGACGCTTTGGCAAAAGAGTCAGTATATTACGCCTTGGGATGAGAACGGGCTCATTGTACTTGTACTCACACATTACTTCTAGGGTCCTACTGGTACTGATGGTTTTGTTTCCATAGCTCACGTCACATCCTACAGTGGCATTGTGCATTTTAGAGGTTGGAGTCAAGGGCAAAGTTGAGAGGTAAAGGCTTCTGGAGGGGATCAAAGTGATGTTGTCATTCTCGAGATTGGTGATATTTTCTCCTGTCTTGATCCACCATGTTATTTCAGGTGGAGTTTCGGGGCAAGGAAAAGGAGCTGAACATGTCAGACTGGCTTTCACTCCTTCGCTGAGAGGAGGAATATTCATTATAGGCTCGTCTGCAAAGAGAGATACACAACATAATGTAGACATTGCAGATTTCCAAAGTGTAAATAATTGAGTCATTCTTTGAGGACAGATTCAGATCAAATGCATATTTTACTAAGATGAAAAGAAAAAGTAGTGTGATTAGCAGAGCACAGCCACATGTTTAAGTTTCTTTATTTAAGAGATCATGTCCAACATAGTTCCTCTGCTGAGATTATGAAATCATAACATCAGAAAGTGTGCAGTGAGCTGAACATCCCTCTGAAACAACTGAGAACTGAAAGAGAACATCAGACTAGAGAGAAAGCCAGGACCTTTGGAACTTTGCCAAACACAAGCAAGCATTACCTTGAATTATGATTTTAACTGTGGATTTATACGTCATTTTATGTGAAAGCTGCCCCTCCACTCTGAATGCATATTCATTTTCATCTTCTGCTTGTATGTCTTTCATGATGATGCTGCAGTTGTTTTTGGTCAGATCAGGTTCAAGCATCTTAATCCGGTCTGTGTGAGTTTTTTTTTTTTGTGTATTCACTTTCCCCTTGAAAATACTTGAAATTACAATTTTACATTGACTATTTTTATGACACACTCTCCACTGAACAGTATCAATAGGTTTCGCTTCATTTGGATAGGTGAAGGTACATGAAATCAGAGCACATAATCCTGGAACTGCAATCATTTCTGGTGGATTGAATGTGATACTCCAGTCCTCATTTCCATGGCCTTGAATAACAGAAGAATGTGATGAAATGCTGACACAGGACATCTCATATTTTAAAATAATAGTTGCCTGTTCATGCTCAATACATGTGCAAGAAGCTACATAAACTTCACATGTACTGTACATTGTTTAAAATGTACATCATACACACTTAGTGATGGTTGAGGTGTGTGAAGTGTAGAAGTTTTATCAAAAAAGAAAATCAAATTGAATACACATTTAAACTTAAATGTAACTGTAAAACATGTAATACATACCTGTACACAAAATATTTAATACTAACATGGAGAGGATTGTACAGCTTGAACTGATCTGCATTTTAAACGTGCATTCCAGAGATCTGCGCACAACAAAAGAAACATTAACTTGAACATTAATATAAATGCTATGCATTCGAATTTCCAATATATTATTCAATATTTGAATGCAAATACTTTGGCAGTGCATATATAAAATATGTGTCATGGCAGTAAAGAAAACTGCATTTCAAATTAAAATGTACAGCATTAAAAAAGTGACCTTACCGCTTCAAGTCAAACCGTTCACAGTGTTCTCAGAAGTTTTAGTTGTAAAACTGCAGAAGCAGCACACAAGTGTATAAGCTGCATCCTTCCTCTAGTGGAGCACTTCCTCATTGAACTGACTTGCACAAATAAGGGATTGTTGTGCATGATAAGCATGAATATGGAAAGAAATAGCATAATTCAGTAAAACACATACAATAAAAAATAAAACAAAATGCAAACAAAAAGTACCCCGAGGGGGTAGACAGTACGACTAGTGATGTTACGTCTGACACCGACGCTCCGAAGCTTGCTTCAAACTCGAACGGTCCTTGCAATGAACCATTGCTTCGGAGCTTGTATCATTACGTCACTAGTCACGTGAAAAGGACTTCACGAGTTCGCACTTACAAACAAGTCAGATAGAATAAATGCGTATTTGGCGTGCTGTCCGAGGAGAGGGCTCCGGGTTAGGTATTCGGCCCAAACCCAGAGTACTCCCCCCGTATGCCTGGCTGTGAAAGAATAAGCCAAGAGTGAGGAGTCGGGGTGGTGGAGGGATGCTGAAACTGTCAAGGAATGTTAGGTGAGTCGACAGAGTGAATATATATATATGCTTCCTCTCGTGCTGATGGGATAGACATGATAATTGTTTGATGACAAGTTGATTGCAATGATTGTTTGAACGTGCTCCTCTCGAACTTTGTTTATAAAACATCATGGTTCAGTCCTGTAGTGAACCACCTGACTGCTTTGACAGCCCAATCCAGTGTTGACAGGTTTGAAACCTGGCGGCTGTATTTCTTATAAAAGTGAAGCCAAACCATGGCAGCACCGTGGGTTGTAGTAGTCGGTGTTTGGATTGGCGTTATTGTTGAGGAGAGTGGATTGAGTTTATTTCAGTGTTGTGATGGAGCCAGCGAGAAAGAGAAGTCGTTAAGTTTGGGAACACTTTAAACTTATTTCCCCGAATAAGGTTAGTTCTTTGACATTTCTGCATACAAATATTTTTACATATGTAGTGAATGATATGGAGAAAGACAGAAACTTCAAAAACCCTCTGCTACATTATACAAGTACAACCAGTTACACAAGCACATCCTTTTCAACATACAAAAATATCAGTCCCACCAGTTAACAAGTTATAGAGTTCTGCTTCCCACAGCTAAACAAGATAAAGCTTTCACACATGAAACTGCCCTGCTAAAAAAAACTATAGAAACCATTACAGAAATTCTATTGGATTTAATGGTTTTCATGGTAATTTTATTGGTTGTAATGGGAATTGTAGTGGTCTCTGTGGGTCTCTACTGATATGTGTTGGGTTCTGTTGGTGGGGACATTAAATCCTAATGGAATATGTCCCAAACACACTACAAAAAATAATTATGTAGTGGTTTAAATGGTAAAAGCCAATGGTTCCTATTGGTATTTTAATAGAAACCATTAGAATTTCTGTGATGGTATATCCCTTTTTTTTTTTTTTTTTTTTTTTTTTTTTGTCTCTCTTGTTATATTCTTCATATTGACTATGTTTCATATTATATGTTTCATAACTGCTGCCGAGCTTTTCATGCTTAAAGAAAACTTGTGGACTATGGAAACGTGGACTACTGAATTTCTTCACTGTCACTGCTGGGAAATACCCCCCTTTTTTTTTTTTTTTTTTTTTTTTTTTTTTTAAGCTGTAGGGGGGAGGGGATGGGATGGGAAGATGATTGTAATTGTTACTGTTAAAAACCCAAAAAAAAAGAAAAAAAAAAAAAAAAAAAAAAAAGATTTTCTGTGATGATTTCCAACTTTTTTTAAGCTGGTCTGATCTTCTGTCCTTGTCTAAAGAAATAATTACACACACACACATCATGCTTAATGTTGTATTATCAAGGTGAACACGTGGAATTAATCAGTCTCTGTAAAATTCACCTACATAAATGAGTTTCACAACACTAACACTGTTTCAGCTTTGATCGCCTCTGTAAACACGTAATAAACGGGGCGTTAACATATAAGGCTATTGCATTTTATGGTTGTCAGCTTTGTTGCATTGCATTTACTTCAGCAGGAGATGGTGCTGCAATTTCTATCTGAATGAAGCTTCGAGAAATGAACCATTTTCGACACAGTTGTATCAGAAAGCAATGCTTCGAAACGCTTCATTTGGCCATCACTAAGTACGACGAGACTAGACAAGGTGAGACTCAAGTAAGCTCTGACTAGAAACACTGTCAAACAAACAATGTAGCACACAGAAAGTATATAACAAACTGACAAACCATGAGGGCAAAATAACACATATAAATGGAGCTGAGAAGAAGAGGAACAGGTGAAAACAATCAGACAAACGAGGACTAGACAAGAGGGCGTGGTAGGCTACTGGGAAACAAGGAGGCAGGAACAGAGGAGCACATGGCAAACAAACTAAGACAGAGCCATATGTTCAAGCACAACACAAACTTAGAGACATGAAACAAAGACAACAGACAAAGCTGCCAGGGCAGAACCCTGACAGATTCAAATGTTTCTTTAGCCAACGAATTTGTTTTTAGATTTGGAAGAGATTTTGGCCATGGAAATGGAAGAAAAAATATATTTTACTATAAGGCTTCCAGTAAAGCCAAGAGACCACATTTATTAAATTAATTCATAATGTCCACACGTTCATTCTTAATCTTATACTAGGCCTAAAATTTTACTCACATTTTTCCAAAAAAACAAAAAAAAAACTCCACACAAATTTCCATGTTCTACACAGTTTCTCATATGTATGGATACACCTGGGGGGTAAACAATTTGCTTTAGTTCTACAAAAATCCTTTACAGAAAGGATGAAATGATGAATTTGAACACTTTGAAGTAATTCAAGTTTAATTGTAAAAAAAAGTACACCGGAACAAGAAGAAAACAATATGGAATGACAAAACTATTCAATTCATAATTTTCATATTGTATAATACAATATACTGTACATTTATAAATGTATAAGAATTTTTAATACAGACAAAAATAAGCTTAGATAGGATGAAGTTTCTGTACTGTATTTGTAAAAGTAGCCTATATTAAATATAGTCTAAATTATATAAACATAACAAATGAAATAGCAGTAACCTCCAGATATTTTACAATTTTAGATTAAGCTAAATCCAACATAATGGTAATTTAAGGACCTCCCTATGAGCTTTTTTAATAATAAACTTCACTCTTTCTGATGTCCTTGTTGGTCATAAAAAACCTCCAGTATAACTTCAGTGTCTGTGTTTGTGGCCACCACTTCATGTATCTTGTCTCCGCTGGAAAACATATTCAGGGAATAAGACAAGCAAATGGAGTAAAATATACTGATTATCATGACTGTGGACAACAGTGTTCACATACTTTCACATCAACCAGAATCCCATCTCAATAAATCACTCAGAACACCTTCAAGTAAATAGTATAAGATATGCACAAGGCGCAACAAAATGTAGAAATTTTAAGCATTTTCGTACCTTTGCCAAGACTCGTGACAGCACAAAACCAAAGAGAAGATGACTGCTGAAACTGATATTCCAGACAGAAATGCTATTATCATTCTAATGTCCACTTGCACTTGAAAAGCTTCTTTACCTTGAATTTAAGAACACAAATTGTTATAGTCTTGAATTTCTTATATTTGTCTCTCTAGTGGAGCACTTCCTCATTGAACTGACTTGAGGGACAAATGAGGGATTGTTGTGCATGACAAGCATGAATATGGAAATAATTTGCATAATTCAGTAAAGATTTGAAAGCGATAAAGGCGGTGAAAAATAGTTAAGGTCTATTGGAAATGTAACAAGTCAAATGTGCATAGGAAGTTCTCTGCTTTGCAAAAACGTGTAAATTGTCACATATCTAGTTTTGTTGAGTTCTGTTCAAGGACTCTTACACTGCGTCAGAAATCGAATACTTTCCTACATATTATACGAAAAACGTCTCGGTTACTGATGTAACCCTCGTTCCCTGAAGGAGGGAACGGGAGACGTGACGTCCCGCCGCCACAGTTGCTGACCATCGCTGTACGGCCGTCACTATCTCGGCTCCTCAGCGAAAAACAGTGTGTGTGCGCGCCCGCTTCCTGTTTGACGCGTTCACGCACGCCAACGTTCATTGGCTTGTTCTTTAGATACTCGAAGTTGATAGGGCTCCCTGAAGTGATCCCCTAACGTCGTCACGTCGAACGTGAGCGACTGAAAGGGAACAGCTCGCCAACAGAGTAGTATGTCTGAATTCATTCTATCTTTTTGAAAAATAGTTTGTGAAAAGTACCCGGATTACCTACAAATTCCAGAAAGTGTGCATTCGATGGACACTTTACTATTTTTGAATTGAAGCGACGCAACTGATGCTGGTAGGTCACGTGACAATAGCAACATGGTGGATATAGTACGTCCGAAATTCATTCATACTACCCACAATCATACTATATAGAACATACTTTTTTAATGGTTGCGAAGTAAGTTCAAATTCAAATGTATACAGTACAAGTTTTCACACGCACCATTATTTTGACTTTCATTCCATGGTTCCTGTGTTTTTAGTTCATGCTTCCTTGGTTGTCATGGTCTCTAAACATGTTCTCATTTGTTTCCTTGTTCACTGATTATGTTCCTCATCTGTGTTTAGTTTAGCATGTTTAGTTTCGCCCTCCCCCTCCTCCTGTGAGAGCTCTTCGGCCTCTGCCACAGCGCCAGGGCCCACACCCTCCTCCAGCGGCCCGAGGTCAACCAAAAACAACTGATACCAGCTCTCAGTGATATGTGTCGGGTCTCCGCTATGACAACAGTAACTTTCTTAAATGTTTACATAACAAGCGGGAACCCAGTGTGCCTGTATCTTCCTCTATTGCTGTTCGATTACATGATAGAAAGTCTAATGGTGCGTTCACACCGGACGCGAATAGCGCGTCAGGCGCGAGTGATTTCAATGTTAAGTCAATGCAAAGATGCGTTACGCGCGTAAAAAATTCCTGCGGCGCGAATGAGGCGTAGAGCGCGGCGCGGTAGACGCGAATACGCCTCATTCGCGCGTCAAGTTCGCGCGAATGGCGCGAATTGAGCGTCTGGCGCGTTAAGCGCGTTACGCGCGAAT